AACTATAATAGTCTACGAAGATTTTTCTAAGACGTGTATTATTAACAGCTATATGCTTAAAAATAATAGATTTAAATTTTTCTAAATGTTGCTCTATCGTAATTAGACTCCCGTTATCGTCTCTAGAGCGCATAAAATCGAAGAACTGCTCTGCGGTTTATCTTTGACGGCGTTCTCATAGAATTTTATAATATCAATCACGCGAACATTGCGGCGAGTTTTATTGTTTCCGCAATATAGGAGATTAGATACAGACTGTGGTCGTCCACACCCCGCATCCACGGTGGATGAAGCCAGACGCATTTAGAGAATGTTTTTCGTGGTTATAAATTTGATGAACAAAAAATTATTTAGAAAATACTCTTATAATCTTTCCCCAAATGTTCAGTAGTAGGATAGAATAGTACTGATAAGATGACTAATGCACTACAACCCACTATTTCTTAGATCTACCATGATTCATACGATAATTACTTAAGAAAAGCGATGACTGGTCCTAGGCGATCTTTTTATCAAAATTGCAAATAGTGTCGCAAACCTTACATATTCGTATTACCATTTTCAATTGAATATTATTTTAATTAACGAGCCCGCATTTCCAGCATGTTTTTCTTGAAACTGTATAAAACAACATGTCATACCACTTATACATAAGAAAAGCAGATGTATCTACAAAATGGGTGTAAGAAACAGGTTAATTCGCAATTAAAATAGCCCGTATCCATCACGTTTCACCATGGATGTCAGCCATGTGGGACCGTTCCTAGAACAACTGGCTACTCACGTGTGTAACATGTTTGGGAAAAAAAGAAGAAAAAATATGGCGAGCCCTTGAGTAACCGTCACTTAAGTGAACCGTCGGATGTTGACTCTACGTTTTTAAGTCAATTTCCTTGTAGTACGTACTCGTAGGTACTCCGTCCGTGGTCGTGGTTTGTATTTCGAAATAAGAAATGCGTTGGAGCGTATTTAAAGGAGGCTTAAGCTTAAAGGAAGCCTTATAAGGGACCCTGCCTTGACCGACTTAAGAAGAGGTCTAGGCTATGATGTTTGCCCGGTTTTTGAGCTTAAGTTATGGAGTTACTTTAATTCCAAAATTAATTCAAGGATTACCTCGCTCAAGCTTATGGGAGTTCCGTTATTTTACTTGTACTTACTTTATGTCTAAAGAGTTATGTTATTTCGGTTACACTTCGTTATATACAATCATAAGTATAATTATTTGACACATTTTCTATAGAAATGCCCAGTAACTTGACCTGAATCGACCCAGGGGGCACGACACAACTTTAGCAAAAAGCAATCAAATTGTCACAAAAAGTTCAGTTAAATCTAAATATATCTGCAAGTAAATGGTATTACTGACGATTGAAACGCCATTAATAACAATTATACCGGCAAAAGTCATTCCGAGAACAGATTCTGTGCGCCTATTCTGAATGTAATCGCTTTTTTATGATCGCCAATCTTTAAAAAGGCAAAACCTTAAAAAGGTAGCTGGAGTACAATGGGTAAGGATACAATAGCCACGGCCACATGGCGAAATACGTTTCTTCTTTTTTGGTAACTCGTAAAGATGCAGATTTACTGTTCACATATATTATGGCAACACGCGATAAGCAAGCCAGCGTGCACCTTTGTTTCTGCTGTCCATCTTCTTTGCATTGAATTTGTAGAACCGTGACTGCTATTAAAATTAATATTTTTGAACAGATACAAAGACATTTTATCATTGGCCAACAATTACTGTTAATATAGAAACTAAAGAGTAGATTCAATATGAATTCTATCAATCTAATCTTTTAAACCAAAATTGGTAGCTATGCGAGTCGTGATCTTGAGTACAATAGTTTGATTAAGAACAATGTTGTTTTTAAGAGTACAGTTGGGTGCATCTGTACAGGTCCCTTGGCCTTAATGCGAACGTCAACAGTATATGTTAATTGATGCTCACGATTCTGAGGTTGTTTAATTAAACGTATTATGTATATTTGTGTACTTGGTTATTGTGCTGCAGATTACACTATTTCATTATAGTACACAATATGTTAAATCATGAATATTATACTTATTTATACATTTCCATGTTCGCATTCATTGATGGTAGATGTAAACTAGGTCTGTCGGATTTGTTTTTACCCCTGAAGCAGTTAATAACTCGGTATAACTTAATTTGTTATTTGTTCATTAGTAATACTCTCCCTAGTAGATTAATTTGTTTCTCATAATTGAATTTGCTGTACGCGTCAGTGTGTGTATGCGCGTAGTACATTGACGTCTTTCTACTCAGATCGAATTGGCACACGGTACACCGGCAAACCGCAGGGTCATTCTTAATTATTCACGTGACTGCAGTGTGTAACGTCACACCTTATTATCGTCTAACATCGATAAAATATTACTTACTTAATAAAATTACAATTGCGTAAAAATTGCAATAAAATTTCAACATCGTTCGAGCAAATTGCTAATATCACGTTAATTAAATACTTTTGTTGTTCTATAATGTCTTAAGAATGTGGGAATTGCATAATTCATTAGTTTTTTAGGTAACGGGTATTGTTAATGACCACGGAAGGTCGGCAAGTTAACCGTAAGATTCTCACGGCGGTGCACAGCAGGGTGGGGTCGGAGGACATTATTTAATGAAGTATATTAATAACAAAAATATACTAATTAATAAAAAGATCCCCTCTAGTAGATAAATTCAATCTAATATAAAAATGGATCCGGAATGATAACTGCTCGTTCGTTGAAGTCTTTTGTACTGAGCAGTCGTTGTAGGGCTACGTAGCCTTTGAATAAATTAATATTGTTTCACGTGGAACTAATTGTTACTATATTTTAGTAACATGATTATTATTGCATTTAATGTTTATATTAAATTAGTACATTTATTAGACAAGAGCGATTTTCGAAGTTATAAAACTTTCATTAGTAACATTAAATAAGAAATGAAAATTATTGCTACACATATAATTATACTGGACATTTAAATGGATATAAAGCAATAAAAAGGCCATGAATAAATGTCAATAGTTATCGCTACCGAAGTACCGGCCCCAGTTGCTCCCCATCTTATTTATAGTGCACTTTGCCGCAGGTTGGGGTCGTGTGACCTTCGGGCCGACTCATCCGTGCCCTTTTACCCACAGGTGCCAACACACCTGTAATTACTTTATCCGTACTCTATTTTTAAAGTATATAAATTTAAATTTACCTACTAAACGTACATGCGGGCTTAACGGTAAACGTTGACTCGCTGTTTTCGACTTAGTAAAATTGTTTATATGTCTGACAAGTTCAGGAAGTTGTGTTGTGAACATTTATAGAATTACTGACAGTTGATTTGGGATGTCGAAGAAGAACAGAAAAAACAACAGTTTCAAGGAAGTCTTTTGAGTTTTCTGATAAATAATTATAATCATAAATTAATAGATCATTTAAAAATGCTTTATAAATGGTACAATGAATAAAACATTAACGAAATTGCAGAAAACAATGTAATCGTTTGGTAATTGAACTCAGAAGCGAAATTTATGCAAATACGGGACACATACGTCACACAAGTTAATTATATTGAAATGACAGTCGAGATTGCGGTGACTAACCTAAATACAAAGCGAGCGGCGATGGCTGGCGGCCGGAAGTCGCGCCATTGTCCCGCAACCATTGACACCTCGGTACCTATCATCCGGTCAATTCCCGTACCGTGTGTAGCTCTCCATTAGATACAAAAAAAGAGCTGAACCATTGGTAGAGGTAACATCCCAAATTTTTTGCCCTAACTGTACCTACTTAAAGCTCAATTATCATCGTATTACATAATCGTAAGTTACAATGGATTGCTTAGTGTGATCAAGTAACATAAATTTTGTCTTTGAACATACAACAAAGGTAAAACAAGAAGTGAACGATCATAAAAAGACGATGAGAATAAAGTCGTTCGCAATGACATTAATGGCTTTGGAAAATGTTGAGCAATAAATCGAGTATACAAACACAATTATGAAACAAAAAGGACTGGAAGACCCAGTCCTGTCTAGCTTGACTCCCCTGGAACTATTCCAAACAAAGTACTGCAATTTGAATAAATTATTCCAGTACCTTATGTTGAAACATTTGAATTCAAGTCACAGACAACCGGAGGATAACATCAATAGTAGCCAAAAGAATTTATCGATGGTCATCACAAACTCATTCAAGATAAACGAGTCAAATCAAATTTCAAGAAGGAAACATCGTCATTTTTTTAGCACATCTATAAGAGTAAACAATTCGTGGAAAAACGCAAAAACACGACAGTTATGTATCAGTGATTCACGCATTGTAGGTAAATTACCCGAGACCGTTAAAAATGCAGTGACAGCGACGGACTACTGATTACGTTTTTGTTTATCATAATCTACTAAACTACACATTAAGGACACTCCTCCTTGGAGTAATGAAACCTGTTTAGTTATTTGAAGAATTTTGCCTCCAAAGTTTCATCGTCAATCGACCTAACCAATCTTACGGTTCTGAAGAAATACGTTCAACGAGTTGTTCCCAGAATAACATTAAGCAGAAGAAAAGTATGTCGCTCAATTTGACAAAACCAACGATAGATTAGGATCACGCAAGACACACAAATGATCGCAGGTAACATTTGTTAGCGAAGCCGAGCCGAGAACTGGATTCTGTTCAAGTGTGAGTATCTTTTTTTTGGGTGAGCAAGTGGCCGTTAAGAAGGAAATGATAAATAAAAATAAAAGCTTCGATCAGAACGGCAACGATGACGACTTATATGAATATAAGACTCATGGAAATGATGTTTTGATGCGTAACCATGAAGAAAGTATAATACTTATTGATGTATGTACTGCATAATTCTAAATTAATGACAGAAAGGGGGATATTTTATGTTACTGTAGTTAAAATTAAATGATGATATAGATGGTCCTAAAAAGAGAAGAAAGAAAACAGTGCTGTTAATGATACCCAAACAAATTGACACTTACCGATACAATCCTTATCCTTCTTAGAAAGGAGTGCAATGGGGCCATCATCGAGAGGGGAGCCAGGACAGAGCGGGTCAGACTTGCTAGCTAGCAATTCCAGCCCCTCCTGCAACCCTAATTGCTGCTCATGCAGCCGTTTCTTGATTAGGAAGATTTTCGGCATCTTCGGGCGCTAATGAACACTACACTCGATCCTTCTGTTCGTCTATGTCACTTGGTCTTTTAAAATTCACAAATCAGCATCGTATCACACTGCACGTTAAGTTTCCTCGCGTTGTTGATGTTTATTTTGTGCGTAGAAGGTAGCGGCACATGTGGTACCGTTGGCCGCTGCGAAAGGACTGAGAGCTAGTGTGCGGTGCCCGCGACACCGTTGCCCGAACAGGTCCGCCCCCGCCCGCGCCGGCGCCGCCCGCCTGGCCCCATGCGTCCGCGCACCGAACCACACCGGCACCTCCGCACAACCACCGCTCATGCACACAACCACACGCACCAGTAAAAGTGCTATTTTGTGTATGACGGTTGTTGCTTGTTCTATCTCACATTGTCCTAGCACAGTGGTATTTTTCACTTACTGATTTTAGGTTAAATAAGTTATACTTACAGATTAAATAAATGGAAATAAAAAACTGAATTCATGGTTTTTTATTTTTTTATGTATACAGAAAAAAATACTTTAGACATATAAGCACAATTACTTCTTCTTTATGAAATGTTTATAATATGCATTCATACCTTATTCTTTGGCGCTTTTAAGAACATAGATATTTGCATTATTTGTGTAACTTGTATCACCGAACGAATTCTTTAACATCACAGGTTCTTTTCCTGTTGAGTTTAAAAATTATCAGAGTCTAGTATAGTAAGTAGTATTACCACAGCAACGATACATATTTGAAAATATAAATCCCAGATAACATATTTATTATAATGCTTCATAAAAATGTAGCAATAACATTTCATTTCAGGTAAAGACCTCACAGCGTCTGGTGTCGGCAGCCTTTCAATTAACAAGGGATTTGCAAAACAATGGAACCCGAACGGGCAAAGAGTAATCAATATAAAGAACAGAGACTTATGAAATAGTTATGACACAATGATAATAAAGTTTACAACTTCAGTTGTTCAAACGGTCTCTGGGAAAAATGGTATTGTTGTGCTTGTGGCAATGGAAGGGTCGGTGCTTTTGGGATTCATATCACATGTTCGTGACGCCATCCTCGGGCCAGATATTTTATTGCATCGCATTTAACAGTTACACTAGGATACAATATTCTAGTTTGTCGGGTGCCGCTTCCAGATTACTCATGCCGCTTTTATTTTTCTGAGCACCTCAGTACAATTCATGCACTTCCTTTTACATTTATGTTTCCGGCAGTTTTCATAGCAGCGGATGTGTTGGCTTATTCCGAGCGTATGATTTTAACGCGTTCATTTATTATGATGTTTGCAACAAATAAGGATTAACAAATAATTTCAAGGAAAAATTCCAATCCGTAGAAAGGATCCCGGGGTTCGGTGCCAAAAAGATTACGATACACTTGCAGTAATCCCGAGAAAACGGGTTTTAAGTTTTTGTTAGCCAAGTCTTAAGTACAAATACAAAGAAAGTGATTACCGATTCATTTAAGACTAGGGGTAATGGTGGAGATTATATGGCTGGATGAATTTACTTTTCTGTTAGGACAGGTAAAGCTTTACAATTTTTTTCTCTTTGTTGAAATGACTTCGCTTATTTTAACCGTATTACTTATTTTTGCAATGCTTTAACAGTACTTGGCCGTAGGTTTTTGAAATCAGATAATTTTGTTTTGCTGAAACAGTTAAGCCGTTTGGGAGTTGAAGTAAAATGATTGAAAATTTTATAAAAAGTATGCGAGTCTCTTTTTGCTGTTATCCATTTTTCACCCGACAAGATTTCTTGGAAGAGTTTTATTTTTTTTACTCTTTGATGTTAGATTACAATTTGTAATTAACGCTTTAAGGATTCCTATGTAAGGCCTACATCTTAAAACAAAGATCATTAGTAATCCAATCAACACTATTTTTATGGTTAAAAAGGCTTCGTTTTAGTGATCATAAATCATTTTTTATTAAAAATGGACCTAACGACTCCATAAAGTGGCAAGGCGTTGTTTACACAAATAAAACAAAACTGTAATATGCTACCGAATTGGTCAGGTCGGGTTTTTTAGTAAAAAATGGTAGCGATTTTGCGTTTGCACCGACTCGACTACGTAAGTTTTTTGTCGGTCCTTGTGTACTCTACAAGTGATCACTAAACTGTAATATTTATTTTTAGAAACATGTTTATTCAAAATATTTAGATAAAAGATACACATAATATGTAACGTTACCTTTTTCTTCGCTGAAGGTTAATACAGAAAATAATTACACAATTTATATTCAAAGAAATAGGTAAAATTTTAACCCTGCCACCTACTTCTGAGAATATCGATAAAATAATACACTTACGGCCTCTCGACTAAAAGGGCAACCCTAGGAACAATTCTTGAAGAAAACATTTTAAAAATAAATAAATTGTTTAGCTAAAAGGAGATCATAGTCTGAAATCTCCTAATCTGGTTAGGTACCTAGCTAATGTTATGAAAATGGAAACAAATTTCTAAAAAAATATATTTTAAGAACTAAAATAATAGATTACGAATATGAATGCATCATCGATTGTTAAGTGGTTCGGTCTAAAGTAGGGCAACTCGGGTTGTTCAATATTCGTGTTGGACCCAACAGCCATTGCACGTGTTTGGGAGTCGTGCGCTGGCGCAGCTTCGTCGTGCGAGTTCTCTGCCATCATCCCTGAGATAACGCCAAAGACGTAGTAACTAAATTTTTTTTCGTGGATATGGTAATTGTCAAATATTCAAAATGGGTACAATTTTATAAAAAAGAGGAGTTATTAAGTTTTGTCAAATAGTTTTAGACACTTTATTCCATTTCTTAACATGAACATGAAATTATACAATCTATTACTTAACAAACTTTGGTTATGCCAATTACCTTCCTCTTTTATTACATAATTTCTTTAAAAATTGCCTTTATACAGTCTATAACTAATTATTTCAATCAAACCAAGTTTTTCTTTATAGATCGTAGCACATCTCAGCTACGGGTGCCTCGGCTGGGCGCAATGCGTGTGCGTCGATTGCGCAACGATTGGTTGCACGGCGCGCGCGCCGGTTCCACGCCGGTAACTCGCCTCAAGTTCTCGGCAACGATAACCTCTTTCATGACCAAAGAAGCAGTGGTAGCCAATGTTGGCGCCAATCTCTTAGCACTGGCACGGCGTGGCAAACATTTGATCAACGTGGTTTGAATGTCACGATCTTAGACAATCTTTCGGCTTCAGAAACAGAGTTTTGATAGAAATACTTTTGTCAGTATAAGGAATTGTATATTATATTTTTAAACTGAACAGCGTTGGTTATGTACATTTATGGGATTACATTAGAGTAGCAGCGAATGTGGAAATAGTTTCAATTTTCAAAACCAGGTTTGTCTATTTCTTTTCAAAATATTGCAGTGGCCGCATTGCCATAATTAAAAATGATTAATTATAATTTTTTAGCACACCCATAAGCATGATGTATTTAAGTCTGGATCGTAATGTTTGCATGATGTTTGCCAAGAAGCCTCTTAGTTATTTGTGATATATTCAAATGAATTATTTATGAAGGCTACGAGGAATTTAAATTTTTCGGCATGAATGAATTAAGCTTTTATCATTTTCAAACAATAATAACGGTTTTAAAAACCGTTAAATCTGAATATTGCTTGTATAATAATAATTATGTTCTTGTAGGATTAGTCACTTAATGTGCAAAATATACGTCAAGGTGTTGGAAGAAAATGTAGTAAAGATAGGAGACTCGTATCTCTAGAAGATCTTATCGATCTCTAGAAGATCTTTTAGATATCACCCTCTTAGTTCCACTAAAATAACTGCTTCGTTGGCCAAAAGGTCGTAAGTGCTACTGCTAAGTAGGAAGTCTCAGTTTAAGTTTTATAGTCAAAAACTTAAAGATAGTGTTGGAATTGGTTTTTCAAAAAATTCTCAGTAATAGCATAGAGTTCAGAAATGGAATTGTAACTTTAAAGTCCACAAACTGTAACTATAAATAATATCCGTCAAGGCTCGATATTAACTTAACATTTGCTGGTATCAGATAGAATGTCAGTTTATTTCATTCCATGTTGATCACAATGACATTCTTCAACGATTCTCCATGAAAAACATCTTTGACAGGCGCTCACGCATCCCAGTTGAAGGTAAAATTAACCAGCATTTCATTTTATTAACGATTTTATCATTTATTGTGAAAATTTTAGTTGTAATTAATATTCTGTTAAATAAGTGCAACTCAACTAAAGATTTTCTCGATGACAATGATTGCAAAAACATTGTTGTAGTAAACATTGTTATAAGTGTAATAGTTGTACACCAATTCGGTAGAATGTATGAGACATTAATTAAGATAAAACTCGTATTGTAACTACATTCTGACAAATAAAATTTTCTTTCTTTCCTTATATCATGTTAATGTGAAATTGTGAATTGATTTAGTGGTCTTAAGCATGGTTAGATTACTTTAGCGGGCTTATTAACCAGAGCTAATGTGACAAATTTTAATTCCATTTTTTCCAATACTTATAATAATGAATAAGTAAGGTTTGAACCTCACTTAGCCTTCGCGTAGCAGTGCGTAGCTTAGGTACGTGAGCTTTTAAACCTATGAACTTCATGAGCTGTGGAAGCAAGAGGGTGGGTAAGGTATGCAACCTTCCATAGCACAGATTTCATATCAGCCTCAAGTAAATAACATCCCGTACTTGGAAGCTTCGTTTTCCATCAAGTGTGCCGTGTAAATAGATCACCGTACAACGGTACTACACCATGTATTCTCGATGATTGCCATGAAACACGCGCGTGGCATCACAGGGGAATAAATTGCAATAGTATTAATGTTTTGAACCGGTCCACTGATTACAACTCAAGTGTATACTCGTATTATTCAATTGGTCGCACGAGCCGGCTATTTTATTATGACAGCAACTAATACAATGTTTGCAGCGATACCCTATTTATTAGCGATGGATTTTGAACTTGATTTGTGTGAGTTTTAAGTTATCTTTGCTTTGGCCAAA